GAGTACTCCAACCCTCCGAGTGGTGCTTGTTTCTTGGCTGGCCTGTCATTTCCATAACACTACTACTACTACTGTAATACATATGACATAGTATAGAGATATGAGTACACATTCCACAGAAGAATTCCATAGAGGAGAAAGCAGTAAGGTGTTAGGAATCCCAGAGGGAGGAGCCATTGGAAAATCTTCACACAGGAAGTCTCTTTTGAGCTGGGTTCCAAAGACTAGGCAGTGGTTTATGAGGTAATGATGTTGGAAGCAAGGCATTCCAGGCAGTGGGAATAAACTCGGAGGCATAAATGAAGTGTGCATTGAGAATCTGGCGTATATGAATAGGGAAATGATAAGGAAATTTGAATAAAGGTTGTGAAGAACTGTATGTCATGCTTAGGATATTGGATTTTATCTTCAAGGCAGTGGGATCCTAGCTTCTTCTTGTTCACTTATTTATATATTATTATTATATAGTAATAGTAATAAATATAATGAGTAATATATATCATTATATATAATAATATATTATTGTTAACTTATTAACATTATTATGTGAATAATTTTTTGGGGTAGTTCATGACAAAATAAGAAGGAAAATGTCTACCAACTACTTTTCTGGCCTAAGAAATATTTTTCATGGAAAAGAGCTACTTTGTTTTAGAAACCATGACTTCCTTACAAACCACATAGCAAATAAAATCAGCAGAAGTCCAGAGCTTTCAGTAACAGCTTTCAGAGTGCTGTTCAGAACATTTCAAGAAGAGGTGGCTCTAGCAAGGCCTGTATGCACATTGGCAAGATAGAGGCAAAATGTTTTTTATTTACTAAAAGTTCCTTTAAAAAAAAATCAACAAAAATTTCCGGAGAATGTTCAATATTTAAAGTCTGGGTGCCATGTTTTTTAGATTTATTTGGACCTTAAACTGTTATTTAAAAATATGGTTACTAGAGTCAGGTTTCTGTTTTTATTTGTATTTAGCTGGCTTCCCAAGCATTGGTCATAAGAATCCTGGACCTTCATTAGACAATTATTCCCTGGAGTATGCTCAGAGCTGTCTGTGTGGGAAGCAACTCTATGGAAAAGTCCACCCCTGTAATTTCAGAGGTCTATCCTTGTGACTTTTGACTTGGGCGTCCGTTTGGAACCATCGTGAACCATTTGAGGGACTCTCGCTGTCTAAATCAGGAGGGCTCCTCTCACCAGGTGCTTCCTGCACTTCCGGCTGCACCTCCGTT